AATGATAATGATAATGATGATAATAATAATTACTAATATTAATAGTCATCCCTTGATACCCGTGTCTTAATAATAACACTTTATGTACCCAGCGTCAACAAGTAAATTCCCTTTACTGTCCAACTGGCCCAGTTGACCACAGGGAAAATTGAAAAATTTAGTTACAGCACAGTTTTAAGTGGTGTGCTGATTTAACTTCACAGTCACACTTAAATTATTTTCTCTCCTTGATACTGTAAAGTATTGAATAGAATTAATGTGGATTTAGACACTGATTCTGACTTGCTCTTTTGACTTGTAAATCTGCCAATTATTGTACACCCCTGCTGGTGGTTTGTGAAGAAGACGCCATCTCACTTTATGATGCATAAATGGGCAAAGGGGCGTATCCGCAGGGGCGGATCCAGGAGTTTTCTTAGGAGGGGGTGCACCACTAAGGAATGGCGTAACTGACTGGTGAGGTAAACAAATTTCATCTCAGGGGAGGGGGGTGCACCCCCTGTACCCTCCCCCTAGATCCGCTCCTGGGGGGGAATAATTGTTGATAACTCAATCTGGTCAATCAATCTGAGATCTACCTAATTTTGTTAATCTTACTCATTGAAGGTTTCTCAGTCCTCTCTTGCTGTTCCGATGGATGTTTGTAATTCTTCTATCGACCATGCCCTGGTCATGGTTTGCTGGCCTGCGCAAGCTGGGAATGACACGACTGGAGGCAACTTTGGCTGCGCTCTGTGTGCATTCTATTCACAGTTGGCGGAAGTTTGGACTGGAGCTCGACGCATTTCAGGAGTATGGAATTTTCACACAGGCTTATGGAATGGCAATATTTCCTCTGGCAGGTGACCTCATACTTAGATTTCCGAAACTCTCCAGTTTCAAGCCAAAAGTCAAGATAAAACCAGTGAAAAAACGCCGGCATATGCGAGGGTTGTCCAATACATCCAATTAGAGTCAATTCGTCTCTGGTTTTGACGATTCGACTTACCGGAAGTCGATTCGTGAAGCCTCTTTGATGGAATCGACACTAATCGTCTCCCTTGTTGTCGTCCCGTCATACCGGAAGTCGATTTGCGCGAGACTTACAAAATATAGCGCAACTGGGCTTTGAGGGTGGGTTGAAAATGTTGTCGATTCGACAATTTGACTAATCTGGTTTACCACTGTCTTTCTTATAATATCGTCAATATATCGTCTTACAAAGGATTTGCTCAGTTTCACACACACATAAACTACTAGGCGACGAAACAGAAATCCATCGCCACTCGAATAGTGGCGTTGGACTTTGGAATTTGCGTTTTTGATTTTTGCCGCTGCGAACGGTAAAATAATGGTTGGATATCAAGGTTGTACAGCCTTGTAATCCAGAGTCCCAACATATTACGTTGATTAGCCCGCACTTGGGTCCCTGTGTTGTTTTCTATTTAGTATAAATGTACTAGAGTTCTATCACGAATGCCGTTCTTTGATTAGCTATGCTACCCACCATCTGTTTAATCCATTGACTCCCGTGCCGCCCGTAACCGCCTGTGACGACCCTGGCCTTTGTTCCACTTCTGATGTCATCAGCTTTGACCAAAATTGGCATTATCTATACTCAACTTCTGCAGGAGCAATTCGAAAAGATCTTTCCAATGATACCTAAATCAAAGTGATCGGCTCAATGGAGCCTGAAATATGCACAAAGATGCTCAGAAATTTGAGTGAAAAACTCCGAGCAAAATTTCCTGCGACTACACGTGGCTACTCCAGGGTAACAATTGCCCGTCTCGATGATGCTTTCTCAGACTTTTTTGAACTGGAAGCAAGCCCAGTAGAAGGCCAATCAATGCAGCAAAAAGATAAGACAAGGAGAAAAAGGAAAGGCGAAAAAAGAATTTAAAAAAAAAAACGATTTCTGCGCATGCCCGAGCAAACATGTCGTAAAACTCTCGTAAAACGCGATGCTAGTGAAAAGAAAAGCATGCTGTCATGTCGCAAATGCCTTTTTGACCTTTTTGAGTAGATTGGAGCTAATTTGGCCCATATCCAGCCTGAAAATCTCCAAAATGTCCAAAAAATGCGTTTTTCGCGGAAGGTTCTGGGAGTCAATGGTTAAACAACAGACTGTTTCTGTGGAGGAACTATCGGCTGATAGTTGCCCCGCGGAAATTTGACTTTAATCCAAGAGAGCGTTGTGGTAAATAAGTGATTTTTTATTTTTCAGTTGCAATGAGTGAGCAATGAGATAAGTTACACTGTTAGTGGACTTGTAAAACCAAATTTGCACGAAATCACAGGGACGCCAGCGTCAAAATAGCGACAAAAAAATGCTCAATAGAGTACACCAATCAGACCGCAAAGCAAACACATGTAACCGGTGGAAGCGGCTAAACGCAGGAAAAGTTATTTCACGCAGTAAGTCGCCATTTGTGAGGAAAGCAACAAAAGCAAAGCCGCTGAGGCAGTTGTTTTGTGGGTTTGGGGTTTTGGACGTGAAACGACAAACTGCCGCCTGGTTAGCTCAGTTTCTAGAGGGCCAGACTGCTGTGGGGGAGGTCGATGGTTAAAACCACAGAACGGACCAACACTCAGGGTCTTAAAATAACTGAGGAGAATGTGCTGCCTTTGTAATTACATCTGCAAATGGTTAGACGTTCCAGTCTTCTCGGAAAAGGACTCTAAACCGTAGCCCCATCTCCTGCATTTTCATTGTTACATGGTTAGCAGGGGACGTTAAAGAACCCACACACCTATCGCAAAGAGTAGGGCACGGCGTTCCCGGTGTTGTTGTCTGGCCCAGTCTCACGAGTTAGTGCTTCACATAGGGTTAACTTCATTGTGCCTTTCCCCCTTGGACAGCAGTGTGCAAGTAAAATTGCTATGACTATCAGGAAGCTCTCAGAGGCAAGCTGCCGACTATTCACGCACACCGCGATATTTTGCGGTAAATTTATTTTACATCTGTTTTCCAAGGCGCTTCCTGTTGCATCAAAGTGAGGCTTCCCCGCATAAGCACCAGGGCCCCGTTTTTCGAAGGTCCCGAGAAGTTTTCGCACCCGAAAAGCCGTAGCAAAATCTCAAACCTTATGACTTCAGAGCTGTTTTATTCACATATTCTTAATATAAACAGAGGTTTTCTTCATACAAGAAGTTTCAATCGTATACACCTCTCTGTCCTTTTAATACCGATTAACTAAAAAATGGCTTTGCGGGCCCGAAAAGTTTCCGGGGCTTTCGAGAAACGAGCCCCTGGCCCGGGGGAACTTCCATGTGTGGATGAATTGAACTTTTATGGTGAAAAGTTCGCGAATGACCTCGAGTTGATCGAGTTGATTTTATTGATACTGTAATTGTTTTTTTTTTTAGCCCCGCTGCTCGGACTGCAAACGAATCAATCAGCTCTCCGTCGTCTGTAATTCAGAGTTCAAAACTTTCTTGGTTACCGCGTAACGTGAAAAATATCATAAAATAAGCTTTTTTTCTTCTTTATTTCTTTTTGTATGTGTACGCTGAGCACTTTTGATACTATGCACGACCAATGAGAACACACTTTTTTTTCCTCTCAATGCCCTTTCCAATTCAGGCACGCTTTCTTTTCACTTTTGTTTTAATCTTTCGAAAGTCAGTTGCGCTTCATCATTTAACTTTTCTTTGAAAATATTTGTTAGTCAGTTTACGGTATACCGTTCCCAAATTCACAATTAGCCAAGCAGAGGCCGTGTCTGCTGACCTGATATCAAGTCACCGACTTTATATGACTGATATGGGTGCGATATCATACTCACTTGGCCAAATTTGGGCACGGTAAATACCTAATCGTACAATTTTTTACGCTTCAGCGGTATATCAGGCTGGCTAGGTCTCATGGGTATTTTGGATCGACTACGTCTCGCTAGAGCATAAACTGTGGCTTGACCAGACTCGCCTGATATGCCCCGCCGAAGCTGACCAAAAAGGTACGATTATTAGGTACAAACGTTGGTACGTGTTTTAAATAGCCTCTTGTTTGTTTTTTTCCTTTCAGTTGGGTTTTTGTATCAGTACGTTCTTTATGGCAGTGGCTCAAGAAATGGAACCGTTCTACTTGTTGTCCTCAACTTTACCGCACATACGTTCTTTGGTATCTATCTTGGGGTTGTAACAGCCGTAGTTGTTTTGATAGATCTGTTTTCCAACCCACTCCCTTTCAAAACAAAACTGTCTTCGCCTTCAATATGGCGCGCTGCCTATGTACACGTTACCAGTGTTTTTCTCATGGCCTGGTGGATATTGCCTTTGTTGATAAATATTCGCTATGTCGGAGGTCTGCCTTGGAAGAATGACAGCGAAAATGGATACAAGATTGAATTTGTCATCAGAAATTTATTGTCCGGCGAAATGTTTGACCACGGAAGAAAATTGCCGTTCATTACAATGGGATTTTTAGCGGGTTTATCTTGTGTTTGTTTAACCTATCGAAGAAACGAAGAAGATGACCACCGTAAGAAACGGCAAACACTGTATGTTTGGCTCGGCACTATTTTTTCCGTGACAATAATTCTTTTTCTCGGAAGGACAACTTTGGGTGCCTTGTACGACTTAATTCCTTTTCATAAAGAAATCGAAGTTCTTCGCTATTTAAATGGGATTCATTTTTGCGGCTTGCTTCTCATGGCAGTCTCGTTTGCACGCATCCTTTGCTTCTTGTGCGCAACTTTCTGCAGGATGTCAAAATCGTTCTTTAAAAGTCACTACATCCTATTGGCAGTTATGCTGGTAATTCCGCCAGTTTATCTCAGCTCTCAGCTTCAACAAATTAATTCTCTATTGACACTGACCGACACCCATGACTCGCTAGAAGGATTGAAAGACATGACATCTTATCCCAGCAATGGACGCGTCTTAGCACAAAAAGTTTTAGGTGAGTTAATATTTGCTCTGTTCTATTTTGAATTTTTGCTTTTATTTTGTTTCTTGAAGTGCAACTTTCTAAGAGCCGTTTACTTAAATAAAAGATCTCCCAATACTGCTTTAGTTTCTCACAATACAGATTCAAAATGTAATTGAGTGGCGCGGTGGCCTCATGGTTAGTGCGCTCGTCTCCGGATCGAGCGGTCCGGGTTCGAGTCCAGGCCGGGGACACTGTGTTGTGCTCTTGGGCAAGACTCTTTACTCTCAAAGTGCCTCTTCCCCACCTAGGTGTGTTAATGGGTGCTGGCGAATTTAACCGGTGGGGGGGGGGGGGGTAGCCCTGCGATGGACTAGCATCCCATCCAGGGGGGAGTAGAAATACTCCTGGTCGCGTCATGCTACAGAAACCGGGAGTGGTTTTCACTTTATTGTTGAAAGCAATTCGCATTTGGTTTCGCTTTGCATTGCTACGTTCAGCAATTGACTGAAAAAAGAAATTCGCAGTCTACGACGTTTCAAGTAACTCAATTTACTTCGCTCTAGAATAAGTGCTTAAATCTAGATTTTAAATAAGCTTGCACACTTGATTTCTTCATTCTCGGATCAGAGTCCAGTCGTTTCCGTTTCTCTTGTCTTCGCTTCCGAAGAGGAAGATTTTTCCTCTATCTGAACATAGTAGTTACTAACTAAGATCTGAACATTTACGTTTCAAAACCGTTTTGCGACCACCCCTTTTTCCTCTCAGCCTCAGAAACATTGACCAAGAAATATTTTCTTGACATCACTCCTGGTCAACTATGGCCTGGTAATGTTTTGAACATTCTCGCACACTGTCCGGCGCTCTTATTCGTCTAGACCACAAAGGACTCTAACGATATATTGATGTACGTCCAAAATGGGAGTGGTGTTTAAAAAAAAAAACCTTTTTTGCGATGAACCGCTTAACCGCTATGTAAGAGATAGATTAAACTTTATC